TCCAGTCTTCCAAGGATGCTATTTATAGCTGGATTGGATAATCTATTCGTTGAATCATAATAGACTATCCGTTGCATTTGCTGGCTTCAATTTTGAATGAAGATTGTGATTTGAAGATTCCTCATTGGAATGGGTGTTTGGACATACCCATTTGTTAAAGGAGAGATTCCTTTTTCCATAGAGTCCGTCTTCTAGCTGCTGTTCAAGTATTTTGGACTGTAGAACTTTACTCTGTTTGTCTTCTAGTGCTTGTATAGGAATTCTGGACAGGTTCTTCAATTCTTAGAGGTTCAGACTTTGTCTTCCAGTCATTTGTTCTTGAATCAGCATAATTATCTTCAATCTAGCCGTTGAAAATCAAGAGATTGATTTTTCCTTACCAACGGGTAGAATTTCTTCATTCAAGACTTAGATAATCTTCTAAGTCTTTTCTCACTTGTCCGCTTTTTGAGAATTCCGGTCTTCTTGAGGCATCCGGTTCTTAGCTGACAAATCCAAAAAAGTCATTCTCAGACTTCCGGGTGAGAAAGAGATCCGCGCTAGTCTTCTGATTTGGGTGACTTAGCCTTCAGCGGGTTGTAGCGAGACATCCGGTTCTTATATAGTCTTCCGGATCAGAGGATTTTCATCTGCTTGAGAAATTCTTACTTGTCTCTAGCATTTCCAATCAAGATATCCAATTTCCATATCACTGAATTTGATTAAGTCTTCAGGCATCAAAACGCTTAAAGAAATATCACAACCTTATTGGAAATCTCAAGAACTTGGTTTTAACAATATTTCTAAAAAGGAAAAATTACATTGAATATTGGGGGAGACCTAAAGTCCCTATTACATTCTAAATCCATCATCATCAAAATCTATGATATTCTTCCCAACAGTTGTCTATCAAACTTAGAATTCCTAGAATGACTTAGTTTATTTCTAGGTGATCTATAGTATTTAATCCTAGAGGTAGATTTTAGTCTAAATTCATTTTCAACTTTTTTCATCGCTAATTTCAAATCGTCTACCTCTTTCTTAAGAGCTTCTATCTCAAGACTAGAAGACTTACATGAAGAACAAGGTGAATCATTTATTTTCAAATTAGTCTCCTCAAAAGTCTTATTTTCAATTTTGAGGGAATCAATTTCTTTTTGCAAAATATTATTTTTCTTTTGCAAAAGGGTGATTTTATATTCCAAATCTTTGTCTAGATGAGACTTTTTTAAATTCTTTAAATAAATCACCAAATGCTTCTTGTAGTTCTTCAAAACTAAAAGGATCGTTAGAAGAACTTACCTCTTCGGATTCACTTTGAGCCATAAGACAAATGGCTACTTCATCATCGGATGAGGAAGAGGAGCTAGAGTTGGATTGCTTTCAGCATTTGGACTTCTTTGTTACCATTGGTTTGCTAAGCCTCATGTTTTGATGTTAACAAACAATATAAGAGCTTGACGTTTGTTTAAGTGTTTCAGGTACAAAAAGAATCCATTAAGATTCAGTACTCAAGAATGAAGTCGAAACACCAAACTAGCGTAGAATATAGGTTGAAACCAATGTAAGGATATGATTTTATATACCTATATTCACAAGCTCAAAAGCACTCACAAAATATGTTTAAAACCATCCCATAAACATTTTCAAATATCTAAAAGGTTTTAAACTCAAACACGAAGGATTAAGGGAATTTTGGAAAATGCCGGACAGTGGTATGGTACCCCAAACGGTACCCCATACCGTCGACACGGTACCCTATACCGCCGGCACGGTACCTCTGTACTGTTAGAGGACAGGTACTGCCAGAGCCGGATTGGTTTGCTGTATTACACGGTACCGAGGTACCGCCACTCAGGGTACCCCCTACCGTACGCACGGTACCTTGCTACCGTGAGGACGGTACCGGCCTACCGTGACCGTTGGGTTACTGTTCCTGATTTGTGATTTTGAATTAAATCAACCCTAATCACCTCCCAACGGCTAATTAACATATTCCACTATAAATACAAGCCTAATCCTTCATATTTCTTTAAGAAACAAAGCTCCAAACATCCTCCCTTTATATTTTAAGTGTGCTCATCCTTTTATTAATTATTTTCATTATTTTGGCTATTTTAAGAGCCTTAAAATTCCTGATTTTTATACACACACTTTGAGCTTGTGTTTCTAGTTATATACTCTCATATTCATAAGTTTGAATTGTATTTTTGAGAGAGTATACTTTCCTTCTACACCAGCTATGTTTTGTTCTTCATTTTTATATTCAAGCCGTTGTGTAGAACTCCTGTTTGTGTTTTTCAAACACACCTTCTTGCGGTCGAGAATAGCCGTTAAATTCTCACGTTGTAACCGTTAAGGATAGCCGTATAAATCCTTGGGTAAAGGTTCAAGGATAGCCTTTGAAATCCTTGGGGGAACGGTAGAAGATAGCCGTTAAATCTTCATTGTAAACGGTTCGAGATAGCCATTGTGAAATCTCGAAGTGAATCCTATTGGCAAGGGTTGTTTTCCAAAACTAGTGCGGTGCTTTGACGGAGTTCAAGAGGCCGGGACTTAGTGGATTCGGAAATCCTTGAGGAGGAGCCTTGAGGTACTGGAGTAGGGGTTTCCCGAACCAGTATAAAATTGGTGTGCATTTTATTTACGCTTTTATTTCTGCGTTTTATATATTGCTTCCGCATTTGCCAACACCGTTTTATCAAACTCCGAAAATATTTTAAACGCCTTATTCACGCCCCCTCTAAGGCATGGGCACAACGTCTAAACCGACTAACATTCTTGAATTTTCGATTAGGGCAATGACCCTTGATATGTCCACGCTCTCCACATCCATAGCAAGTAGGCTTTGTACTCTCATTCAATTGCTCAAGCTCATTTTGCAAGAAGTCATTAAATAACTCGAGAATGTCACTTTTTCCAGAGCCGCTTGTCTCGACATATTTTGACGATGAAGCTTTGAGTGCAACTCCTTTGAATGATAGATTTTGATCCCTTTTGATCTCCGCTGCACTAGAAAAGTTAGACATTTCATAAGTGAGTAGTTTACCTCGAAGTGCGTCATATGTCAATGTATTGTAATCTCGGCCTTCTTTGATAGGATTGACCGTAGACTTCCATTCCGGTGTGAGACTTCGAAGGATTTTTCGAACTAGAACATGATCCTCATAATGCTTCCCAAGTGTATCCAAATTTGAGACGATAGTTGAAAATCTCTCGAACATGCCATCTATTGTTTCATTTTCCATCATCATGAAAAGCTCATACTCATGGGTGAGTAAGTCGATCTTTGAATCCTTCACTTGACTTGTTCCTTCGTATGTGACCTCTAATTTGTTCCACATCTCATTGGCCGTCTTGCACCTTGAAATTTTCCGATAGTCATCCGGGTTCACGGCACAATATAGAAAGTTGATGGCCCTTGCATTTAGTTGCATCTTCTTTTTGTCATTTGAGGTATATTCGGTCTCTAACTTTGGAACAAGAACCCCGTCAACAATCTTCGTGGGAACCGTCTCTCCATGCTTGATCACCAACCAAGAATCATAATCATTTGATTGGATGAATATTCTCATCCTCTCTTTCCAATAAGCATAATTTGTGCCGTCGAAGAGTGGTGGCCTTGTCGTGGATTGTCCTTCGGCAACTCTGGGTTGAAATGTTCTTCTGGCCATGATCTTTTTAAATTTTCAGCGGTAAAGCTTTGAAAATCCCTTGCTCTGATACCAATTGTTGAACAACTTACGCACCTCTAGAGGGGGGGGGGTGAATAGAGGTGTTCTTCAAAAATCAAAACTTTTGGAAGATTAAACAAAAAATTCGCAAGATTATGCCAACCACAAGAAGACAAAGAAGAAGAGAAGGAACAACACACGATGTATACTGGTTCGGCCTAAATGCCTACATTCAGTCCTCGAAGCAATCGTGCCCAGGCCTTCACTAACCCGTCAAACTTAACGGAGTTTGACAATCCGAATACAACTCGAGAACTTGATTTCACAAGCCTCTTATCTTACCACCGAAGTTTTAATTTCACAAAACTCGAGAACTTGATTTCACAAACCATTAGGATTTCTACCACTTGGTGTAATCCCAACACCAAGAATACAAATCCCTTACAATAAAGTAAGAAAACAAACCGCAACCGAGTAATTCTCCCAACACGGAGTAGATTGCTGCAAATACAATGATGTCCTTTGGAATATGGCAATATCTCTCAAAGACTCAAGCAATGAGGAAAAACTCAAGCAAGAAATGATTTAGCAATCAAAACAATTGCCTTGCTTGGATATAAGAAGGGGATTGAGTAGAATCTCTTTGGATATTCAAAGGATATGTTTTTCAAAGTGTTCTAAGTGTTCTTATAAAGATAATCACGAAAGTAGATAGTTTATAGAAGTTAGGGAGTGGATAGGGATGAAAAGCATACAAAAAAATAGCCGTTTGGTAGTTGAAATTGTCGAACTATTCGACTAAATCAAGACTTAGTCGACTAGTTTTGGGGAAACTGCAATCTAACTTATTCAACTAGTTCTGGATTTATTCAACTAAGTCAGAATAGAATTACAGGGATTTATTCGAATAGTTTTCAATTTAGTCGAATAGTTTGCTGAAAAGAATGTGTTTTAAAGGTAGGATGATAAGGGAATGAACCTTATAGATGCCATACTCTTTAACACATAATCTAAGACCTAAAACACTACCCAACTAAGGAAACAACCTCTTCGGTCTCGTTCCTTCCACCGATGCTCATGTCCCTTCTTCACAGACGGATATGAACTTGTTGCAGCTTTGATTCTTAGCCTTGATGCACAATATGATGATGATGTTTTGTCACCCTTTTGTCATTATCAAAACCTAAAAGGCAATGGGCAAAGGACATTGCAAGAATACATATTCATGATAGCACATTGTCCAACATTTTCCAGTACATGCATGGTCTTGTTGTGAGGGATTGCATTGCGACCTAGTTTTGTTTTTCAATTTCGTTTTTCCAGTTTGTGCATGGTGATGTTGTGATCGATTGCATTGTGACTTATTTTCGTTGTTGAATTGAGTTTTTCCAGTAGATGCGTGGTCATGTTGTGATCAATTGCATTGTGACTTAACATTGTTGTTCAATTGCGCTTTTCCAGTACATGCATGTTCTTGTTGTGAGGGATTGCATTGTGACTTATTTTTGTTGTTCAATTGAGTTTTTCCAGTACATGCATGGTCATGTTGTGAGGGATTGCATTGTGACTTATTTTTGTTGTTCAATTGACTTTTTCCAGTAGATGCATGGTCATGTTGTGAGGGATTGCATTGTGGCTTCTTTTCGTTGTTGAAGGGCATTTTTCCAGTAGACCTATAGTCATGTTGTGAGAGATTGCATTGTGACTTATTTTTGTTGTTCAATTGAGGTTTCCAGTAGACCTATGGTCATGTTGTGAGGGATTGCATTGTGACTTCTTTTCGTTGTTGAAATGCGTTTTTCCAGTAGACCTATGGTCTTGTTTTTAGGGATTGCATTGTGACTTATTTTTGTTTTAAACAACCTTTTAATATACATGCATCACGTAAATTTGTGAAGAAAGGTGATAGAGCACAGCCTAAAGATGGAAGAATTAACACTTATTGTAATGTGCTTGAGACCGTACGTAGAATTAAAGGCGTGTTGAGAAAGGAGGAGATTGAACTCTTTAGAGGCACGGTTTTTGGAAAACTGTTGGATGTTCCTGAACTTAGATGGATTAGTAATGGGCTCTTAGTTGGTCTGTTAGAAAGGTACAATGTAACGCCCCAAAACATACCCTAGAATTATTAGTCAATAAATAGTCAATTAATCAAATTTGTTTTGATTAAAATAAATTATTGTTGGGCTTTGGGCCGATATGAAATGTGTTTTGACATCCAATATCAAAATCTGGATAAGTCTCACAGAGATAAATCCAGTATGTGGACTTTTTGTGTGGTCTTGATTGGGAACCTGAGTACAGACCCAAATCAAGAGCAAATAAAGAATTTGTTTAGAATGTAAATATTGAAATGATTTCTTAAAATAAATCATGAGAATAACTGATATAAATTAAATGAGAGAACCTTTATGAGAAAGGTCAATTAAACCAATTCTGACTCTGTCAAAGTCAAACACCCAAAAATATGATGTCAGGAAAAAGTATTGCAAATAAATATGAAAATTATATCATTCAATAGAGCTTGACTGTCTGATCGCAACGGTGCAAACGGAATTCGATTCGGAGAAAGTTGAACCAAATAGTCTACCCCGACTCGAACCAAAAATTCGTCCCAATCAGGGACACTGTGCGAACGGCGCCTCCTCCTCCACTCAGCCGATTCCTAGCATTGTCCTCTTCCCCTTCATCAACTCCTATATAAGGAGTACTCAAAACCTTCAAACATGCATCATTCTTTCTAAAAATTAGTCCATAAGAATCCTAAGAGTGAGGAGAGTGGTCTGGTGTTGTTGATTGTTGTTGAAGTCGCCAATACTAGCAACAAACCTCGCCGGAAGTTTCTCTGGAAAATTTCCAAAACCTCCGTTAAGCTTCGAGGTAAGCCCGTAGATAACTAAAAACCGTATTTCCGAAATTGGACCCGAACGAAGAAGAAGATGAACAGTGGCTGAAAAACCACTAGCTGGATCGATCCAGGGGCTTGGATCGATCCCCTGGGAGTGATTTTTCATAGTTTGGATCGATCCAGAGGGCTGGATCGATCCCCTGAAGTTCTGATCCGAAAATTTGCCCGAAATTGCTATTTTTGAGCTTTAAAATCCTATTTTTGATACCAATTGATTATGATTATTTTAAGGATGATTCTTTACAAAAAAAATATTGTTTTTAACAAATAAAAATGTTATGTGATGCATGACGGTAAGTTCGGGTGTTAACACTTGAAACAAGACCGCTAATTGTTATTGCTTTAAATGTTATGTTGATTGATGATTATGATTAATGAACCTACTGATTAAAAATGAATATGTTGATGATTATGGTAATGATTATTGGTTGGTGATTATGATGATTAAATCTTGATAAATGTTTTGATTAAAAATTGTAATTATGAATGATTAAATCATAATGAATATATTGATGATTGTGAAAATAATATGTATTGTCAAGGGTATCTAGAAGACCTCTAAGATATACCCATATTAATGTTGATTTGAAAGGTATCTAGAAGAACTCTAAGATATACCTATATAAGTTAAGCCTTGCGGGTATGATGCCCGGTGGCTAGGGTTAAAACGTACGTACGGGATCCAAGAACCAAACTTGAGTACCTACTCGTTTGGGGGTACCACCCACCCAACAGTGAACACTACGCTGTCGGTTTTTGGTTGGCCTTAAGTGAAGGTAAGTTTAAGATTTCCAAAACCCTTTTATCTTAAACTAGGCCTACCTTAAGGATTATTAGAAGTACTCTATATACTGGAATATAGTTTAATTAGTTAAACTAGAATTCATTTAAGGGTTACAAATATTAAAATGATTGGCCTTAGACTAAGAATAGTTTAAGGATATTGTTGAATGACAAATGAAGAACATACATGTTGAACGATTGAATAATGAATGTTGAAAATTGAATATTGATTATTGAATATCTGAACTGAACATTATGTGCATGATATCAAATTATTTGATTGTGAATTGAGATACAATTTATATGGATGTTCGACGCATTAGATATGCTTACTCAGCTTTACCGCTGAGCGTGTAGTATGTTTTATTTGCTACACGCAGGTTAATAGAAAGAATGATGTGACGTGATCCTGGAGGCGGACGGAGGCAAGACTGTCGGAATGGATGTGATGTTTTGAATTAAAGAACATAAATAAATTATATTTGTAATTATGATTTGTTAAGCTTCCGCAATATTGAAAAATCCGTACTGTTTATGATATGAAAATATTATTGTGATAAATAAAAGTGTTTGAAATGTTTTAAATTTTACGAATACCAAGTTAAATACTTTAGTCCGAATGGGGCTGCTGACCTGGACGGATTAGGGTGTTACAATTTGGTATCGGAGCAAATGGTTTTAAACCCGATCTTCGGATCAAAGTCTTATTTTAAAATATATATACATTAAATATATTTTTTGTAAAAAAATATGTCAATCACATCCACGACTCTCGCATCCCTCTGCTCCAGGAAAAAGGTATGAGAATTTACTTGATAAATAATGACTCTGTTAGAATTCTCATAACAATTGTTTAGTACTGAAATCGTATCGAGCGTAGACTCTAGTTGAACTTTCGTACTCGGTGAAGAGACGAAAAAATAAAAGAAATATGTATAACCTCCTGATACGTTATCAACGTACGCATCACGTTGCGAATGACAAAATTGATCGGCCTCGTAAAGTCGCTTAGAAGTGAGACGACTATGAAGAAACAATTAATGTTGAATAACATCTGTGAAGCTGCTATCAAAGATCCTCCTGTGGACTGAAGACGATCGGATCGCTGATTCAAACACGAACGTTTAGAATCTATAAACGCTTTTGTCTAAAAGTGTCCTATTCTGATGTCCAACTCATTACGACGCAAATATACGATTATATCATGCGAATCGAAATCATTGATTAAGCAACAATTCCTTGCAAAACCTCGTTAAAATACCATACAAGGAAATTGATGTTATCCTTAGTATGCATTGGCTCACTGAACATTGTAGCTGTTGACAACTTGTAATGAAGAATTATCCAACTGAAGATCAATGATGGTAACCTCATATAGGTGAAAGCAAAGCTGATTTCTAGATCGACCGGTTCATCTTGAATATATACGCGAAACGTCTTGACCGTAAGAAGTGTGAAGTCTATTCGGGTGACACGCAAAAAGAAACATCTAAGCTGAAGGAACGTACCGAAAGTATTTCACCCCTCTGATATGAACTTCCTTATATTTCACCGTTCCAAGAAATTGAAAACTCTGTCAATCTTGATCCTCGAGAGGACCAATATTCGTAACTCTATATTGAATATGTTTCCGTTGAAACAAAAAAAACTCAACTATGAAGATTGCCTAACAAGGAATCATCTGACAAAGTGTTTCCTCTATCGGAGAGTATCCGTTCTATTCAAACGTGAATAAGGAAGAATCAAGGAGACTTTATATCAACTACTGTCAGTTGAACAATTCGTTATCCTTTACTTCGTGTCATGACTTATTTGATCAGCTTAGAGGATCCATTGTATTCTCTAAGATTGACTTACGGTCAAGATACTATCACATCCCTGTTAAGAATGATGGACAAACTAACGATCAATAATCGCTACTCTTTACTACGTATAGACGATTTGTTCGAAGAACCTGTTTGTTAAAAACTACGGACATCTCGACCTTGTTGACTGAACTAATGCCTTGCTAAGAAGCGACTAATGATTTAGTTATTTATCGTAAAAACGTCGATGTAGTCTGAATTGACTAAATGAAATATAGTGATGCTGACAAGACAAATCGATTGACTCGTTTGGCGTGAATAAGTGACGCCAACAGTGAAAAACTGAAGAATGAAGAAAATGTAGCTGCACTGACCATACAGCTTAGAATAATATTTATGACTAACTCGTAATGTTCAAGGACGATATTATTTCAATATGATCGCAACTTAGATTACACAAGGAAAGTTACAGATGTAATTCTAAGTCTAATCTCTCAGGATTTGCAAAGTCGTCATAACTAGCTCCACGACCTGGGAAAGCTTTAGCAAACTCTAATTTGTCTAAAAGCTCACCAACAAAGAAAGAAGAAATGAAAAGTTTCCTCTGACTCAAAGACATGAAGTTCTGCCTCACTGCATCGTCTAGAAATTTGATTAGGTTATTGAAATAACCGTCAATGTTCAAGAGACCAATGGGTCTATTGTGTAACCCTTCAGAATCCCACGAGATCAAGGTGAACAAACCTTCCATAGTGTCAACTCCTCCGAGAAGAATGATGAAAGCTTCCACGGCATGATTCATCTCAAAATATTTGTAGTAATTGCTAGAAACTATGTACTCTACGCCGTATGTAGGTCCGTCGACCCGTCGTGTTGCTATGTACCCAGGAATGAAACCTCTAACGAGACCACCATTGGTAAAGACTGTTGAAGCAACAGTTCCTTATAGGCCAACGTTGCCTCCTCCAAAAGCAAGACTAATTCTTCGCCTTATCAATTCTCTTCCTTAATCTACTGCAGTAGCCATAAACTTTGGATTTCTACCAAGAGAATGACTGCCAAGAAGACCAACGAATCTTATGGTGTAAGGAAGTGTTCGAGAAGTTCCTTCCATAATGTGAGAATGTGAGATACTCTTCCCATAATCGTGATATATATAGTCTCTAGAACTTGACCATTGATGGAAAAGTAATTATCACCAGCCAAAATACATACAGTAAAATGGATTCAAATTACCTGCAGACGAGAACATACTCGCTAATACTCTAGTCTGCTGACAATATGACGTATTGAGACTCTTGAACAGTTAGATTCGCTGTCCTAAAACACGTTCAAATCCGAGACGAAAAGTCAAAATGGCTATTCCTAAGACAACGACCTATTGAGTAACTTCCAAAGAGTGAAACATTGAAGGAAGAAAACCTACGATTAGTAATGGTAAGTCGCAAACACTATCTTTGTATCTTGTGACTCACATCCTTGAATGACTCAACTTGCTGTGTTAACTACACCCTTGAAATACCTCGCTTGATCAATCTTGAATTCCATTCTTTGTGTCAAAATACTAAAACCACGATTCTTCATTAAACCAAAGATGCTTCATGATACCGATATTTGAAAACTATAGTCTGTGAACTACGTGACTCGATCACAATAGTAAAACTATCCTGACTTGAACATTATGTTAAACCTCTCTAGGGAACTGCTGCGAAACAGTTAATGCGATTACGTTATCTATGAAGATTATTATCAAGAAACTCTGTTTTGACCCCAACAAAGGAATATATGTGCAACGACCAGAGAAGAAATGACGT